TTCCTGGGCCATCCTTTCTACTCTTCTTAAATATGGGTATGACAGTGCTTTTTTTCCAGTCTCCAGGGACTAGTTCTGACTGCTATGACTTTTCCAACATAATTAAGAGAGGGTTGGCAACTGCTTCAGCCAATTCCCTCGGGATTCTGTGATGCATCTTATTAGGACCCAGAGACTTAGGGATGTTCAGGTCCCTCAGGTGGTTGCAAACTTGATGTTCACTTACAGTGGGAGGGACATTGCACCTCCAGTTCCCACCTTCCAAACCTGCTCGAAGACTGTGTGTTAAGAGTGGGTGACAGCATGTGAAGACTACAGAAAAAAAAGCTGTTGAGTACCTCAGTCTTCTACTTGTCCATTATTACCTGTCTGCCTGAACTGCCTTCTTGGACTTTCTTCTGCTGGCTCATGAAGCTTTTATGGTGTATGGGAACTACAGAATCACAGCCTAAACCTCTGATTGACCAGCTGAGGTGAGCAATGAGACACCTCTGGGAGCAAAGGTGAAGACAATTCTCCTGTGCTATTGGAAGGGGTGGAGCCTGGCTCCACCTCTCCTAGACCCTATTTAAGAGCTGACTAACAGTGGGGAAGGATCTCTTTTGGAGATTGCTCATCTTGGAATCTTCTCAGTGAGCCCAGGACAAAGGTAAGCTTTCCATCCATTCTTCTTTAGTGTGATAATCTGTTTAGCCTAATATTCTTGTATATTTAATTATAATATCGGTATATTCATTGTTTATACATCTGGTATGAAACAAAGGTGTGTTACTGTGGTTGGCAACCCTGCACACATAGATAATCTTTGTGATCCTTTTCAACCCAGATCATTCTATGGTAGTGTGATTCTATGATTGAATTCCACCACATGGGAAAAAATGGCACTGCACCCACTGACATTCATGGATACTTGCTGAATATTTATAGAGACCAAACAGCAGATGTGTGCACAGTAAGGCAGTGGGAGGTACATTTCAACAGTGGTGACAGTGGGTCACCTCCACTGGTGCAGATTTTTATAAGTGTGGCATGCAGGCTCTTATTCACTGCTGGTGAAAAAAGCACATCTAATACTGGTGACAATGTTTAAAACTAGTCTTTTGTAGCTAGAATTTGTTTTACTAAATAGTGCTATTGTGCTCTTTGTATCTGTTGTAGCTTCCACTGAAATAAACAGGAGGCAGTATTTTTAAAGCAACCTCTGTACATTAACGAGATCCACCCCGAGCCTTTACTTCTCTGAGCTGAACAATACTAGCTCTAACAGCCTCTCCTCATTTTTATACAGAATTAGATAGAAACTGGAAATACCTGCACTTTCATGGAGAACATCATAGCTTCCAAATACGTGATCAGTTTCAAGAACAAGAAACAGTGCTGACAAGCTTGACAGATTATAGCTACCTTTTTACAGTCAGAATTCTGATTACAGCTACCCCTATGTTTCCTGAGAGTCTTATTTCTGCTCCTTTTCTAATAATTTTAAAGTAAATGTGGCTGATCCTCTCCTTACTTGATCATAACCACCTTCCCATCTATCAGGGAGGGTTTTGCAGATTACTCCCACTTCATGTTAAAATATCTCATATCACTGTAATTTTATCTGTTACTTTTCTGAGACATACAACACTAATAGGAAACATGCCAGTTCTGTAAATGGTATGCATGACTTACAAAAGTTAACAGCACTTTTCTACCCATGCTGAACTTTGTTTCACCTGGCCCAATTCTCACCAGTATTTGTCACCTACTGATCACACTGAAAACCCTATTTATGATGCTCCAGAAGACACCATCAAAACCAGGTTAAAAGAGACTCTATCTATAGTATTAGAGCTAGTCTGACAATGCCATCCCTTCAACACCACTTTTTGGCTACAACTTTCTCAGTATTAATAGCATTACAGCACCACCTGTTTCATTCCACGGTATTTTAACCCCATTACTATCTCTTTGCTGTGGATATTCAAAATATGAAAGCTTTCATGTGAAATCATGTTTTAATGTGTCTCATAGCCCATAACATAGAACAACATTTCCAAGGCAGATATAACACATACTGGTACACATTCTACACTAGCGAATCTATAAAAATAGAGTAACAGCTACAGTAGTCAAGAGGCAACATTAAAGTAGCCCATGAAAGGAGTTGAGGCAAACTTGAGATCAGTGTTCTCACCATCCTGGTTCCACCAACCTCCCCAAATCAGAATTTCTAAATCTAACCCACATGCTTTGAGTGTCATCACAGATTCTCTTACAATAGTGATACTTAATCTAATTTAGCCAAGGTCTCTCCTTAAGAAACCAGTCCTTTTCTTGACATTATCACTAAAAATCTTTCATTTCTGTTGCACATATTCATCTTTATTTTATGAGCGATAATCCTTGCAAGGTGTTCTGCAATGTATGAGCTGCACAACTAAGCAATTTTCTCTTTTTTTTAAATAATGTATTGTCTCTTGTCATTTCTAGGCCAGGAAGTAAAGTGCAAATGAAATGTCACAGAAAAAAATCACAGATTAATACATATGATCTGTCTGAATTACACCACAGGTTTATAGTTTCTTCCTTTTAAAAATTAAGTACAAACTGTAATTCTTTATGTGGAAAAGAATTAAAATCTCCACCCACCATCAGACTCAAAAGGGGAACAAAAGGAGCACAATTTTAAAAATACTACTTTCTAAAAAAAAAAAAAAAAAAAAAACTAAACATGCTGTCCACTTATTTTCTCTTAAGAAAAGAGTACTCCAATTATTTTCCTGTTTGAAACTTCCACAGTGCCCTGAAAATAACTACCTGCTTAATAATCATTTTTGCATGTCTGTAATTAATATTCTTCAAGAATGTTTACATCTCAACCTTTAGAAAGGCAAAAAAAATTCTATTTACACCACTTTTTTTGTATCAGTCAGGTAAATAGCACCACAAGTAAGCACTGCTTTCAGATACTTAATACAGCAAGAAATAATTTCCAAAATGCAAATAACTTATGCAGATTTTAGTCATTTATAAATTTATAATGCAAATTGAAGCGCTATCTTTATTTTATGCATGGATATAGCACACATACCAACAGGCTAACATTCTACTACTAACTAACAACTGCGTTAGGTGAAGCATTAATGTCAAAGAGCAGTTCAATATTTGAATATGTCAAACTCCTCAAATCTTACATTAAAAAAATCTTCAGTCAAGACCTATAAACCTGAAATAATAATTACAACAGAAAATAATGAATATACTTAACAAGAAATAGCAAAGTGAAGAAACTTCCAGAGTGAATCCACAGCTCTGAGATACCATTATGAAACATGCAAACAACAAACTGGAATAACAAATTAGGGAAATCATGCCAATGGTTATTCTTGGTAATAAGACTGTTCTTATAAGAAACAGTGATGTTAAATGAGGTAGTCTTCAAGATTTCCTTCCCCTCAGAAACAAACAAAAAAAAGACACAAAGGAAAACTTGCAGGAAAAATTCTGCCTGGCAGCAAGCAATCACAGCAGATGCTGTTTTTCTTCCTCTCAAATCTTTCCTCAGAACATCCTTCTCTTCTCCCCTCATACTGTTCTATTTCAAGGCTTCTGAATTGTATTAATTCATTTCTTCCTCTCAAATTATTGCCTATCCTTAGGACTTCTCTGCAGGTAAAAAGTAACTTATAAAGCAAGCATACAAATTACACAAATATATACATACGTAGACAGAAAAATAACCATAATCCTGACTTCACTAATGGTTACCTGACATACTTCCTGTGTTTCAAATGAAGCAGTCAATGAAGGAAATGAGTATATGCTACATAATATGTACTTGTTTGCCTGCCTCTTGATGAGGTGCACAGAGAATAAGAAGAAATGGATGACTATCTATGCCTAACCACTGGAGAAAGCTCCAAAATCCATAAAGACAATCACAGCAGTCAGATTTAGCAGCTGCCTGCAAAAGCTCACCTGGGATTTCAGGTGGAAGCTACTCTCAGAACTCAGAGAAAACACACTATAATGCTTTTTAATATAATATTTTTCACCAAGGTTTCATTTGGTTTCCTTAAGAAAGCACATGTCAGTTCACTCAGCTTTAATTTTAAAAGAACACATAAGCTGCAATTCCTCTACTTCTCTGAAGGAATATGCTAAAATCATATTAACACAAGAACATTTGAATACAGTAACAGCATTAGTATAAATTATTGCAGCATTCCTCCAGCAAGTATATAACATTAAATAAACCTCTGATTAAAACTGTCAGTGAACTTTAGTGCAACATCCTGAAACAATATGGGCTATTTTCTTTCAGAAAAGGAAATTACTGTCCACTGCTATTTCTTCTACACGTATTTTGGGGAGAGAAAAAAAAAAATCTTACTAGCAGCAGGAAAACATTTCTCCCTTGTGCTTTAAGACATACACATAAGACCACAGTCTATGTGTATATTCACTTTCTTATCCCTCTTTCAAACAAAAGGCTCTTCAATTAAAAATGTGAAGTGGAAAGGATAGCAGAAACTTCCTATTCAGGAAGTGTGTCAGTGCTGAACCTCCTTTGCTACTGGGCCTGAGTAACACTGAATAAGAAGATTCTGATTTAAAAAAAAAAAAAAGCAATTAAATGCATCTTTAATACAAAAACCTGTAAGCAGTCCCAAAAGACAAATCAGATCCAAATAAATTGAACCAAAAATTGATTTCTTAGAGGCCTTACAAGAGCTCTTTCAAATATCCTTGGATTTGTCAACTCTAAACTTCTCAAATGGAATCATTACAACCTATTTCTTTTGAACTCACATAAGCTCTACTTATTAGCCTTGTTCTTTTAAACAGAAGAGTACATTACTCCAATGTTCTTTATATCACAGACCTCTCATTTCATTGTTTTTCTTAGCTGAGAATGCTGTCTTGGCTTTTGAGTAAAGCATTTGCACCCCAACTGCTTGTTTCAGTCAGCTAAACACACAGATAAATAAACTTCTAGAAAAAGTAAAACTTGCCATGACTTCGGCTCCCCAAAATGGAGATAATTAATGCTGTAGAGATCCATATCTTCAGTGTGCCATGCAAATGTTGTTTTCCACATGCCAAAATACAGATATGGGGTATTTACACCCTCAATAGAAATTCCACAGTCTTCTCCTACAACATCCAGTATTGTATTAAGATGAGCAATATTCCATTCCTCAATACCCTGAAAAAGATACATAACAGGTGTATTAATAAATTAATAAAATAATCTTTTGTGAAATACATGCTTTATCTAGCCTTTCAAAAGACCATAGATAAGTAAAATTTATAAATACTTCATCAGGCTCTTGAAGTTACCCCCAAAAAATTGTTTTGTCCTTAGCAGAATTTAGATCAGCCTGAGATGTTTACAGCAAAGAACACAAAAGATAGATAGATATGAGCTTAACATTTAATATTTCAAGCTTGACACATATTGAAATACTATACACAACAGAAATAACAGCTGCAGACAAAAGTCTATAATGAGTTGGTAGCTATATGTCACTAGGCATACCTATGCTTTTTACTTACAAAATATTTTAAATATGCTTTTAAATTGTTATTTTTCTATATAAGTTTACCAGTTTTCTGAAGAAGCCATAAAAACTAAAACAATCACGTCAGATCTTTCTATAACCATAACAATGGACCGCATGACACAGAAGAAATCTGGTAATTTCATGGGATTTCAGACGTTTTCCTCCCATTGTTGCCTAAAGTTTGTGTACTAAAAGCCACACATGTAGCTTTCATTGTATTTCAGATTCACAAAACATAATTCCAATTTCAGGTAATACAGTGTGTAAAAGTCAGTGTAAGAAAGATCAAAGCTAGAAAACTGAAGAGAAAGAGATCAGACTTCACTGTAACAGCAATCATTAGCTCCTTGAGGGAAGACTTCCATATGAAGTTCAGCTGAATCCTTCAGACACCATATTTGACTGCCTGCATTGATGACCTCACCTATGAAGAAGGGCTACCCTTATGTCACCTGGGAGTCATAGAAAGGAGTTATGTGTACCAGAATGAGTCCATTCCAGATAAATAAATCAATTTGTTATAATGAAAGCTTTTGCTCTCATGTGCTCTCATTGCACTTATGTGACACAGAGGCACATGTGTAAAAAATATATTTATGGTAAGCACTATCAAAGAGAATTAAATGCAGATATGTATCCAAGTAGTAGATGTTGGTAAAATCTCTACCTTTCAAATCTAGAACTCAGTCACCAGCAAGGCAATAGAGCTGTCAGATATAAAGTTTATTTGCAGAAACAACTTTAACTAATTATTCTTCAAATTAATTTACTTATTTGATTGAAAAAAAATCTCACAAAATTAACTGCTGTTCACAGATTATGCACAGTCAACTTGGAGAAACAAATTAATATGGCAAAATAAAAGCAATGACTTAACCTCGGAGGCATACTGGAACATAACGAACATGAGAGAAAAAAAAAAAAGCAACTGTTAATCTAGGCAGTATCCTCCTTCTGACAGAGGGCAAAAACAAACAAGAATCAGAATACCCTTCCAGCAATTTGCAGATTAAAGGTTTCACCAGAGGTATTATTCATCTGCTTAACAGGACCAGGTGGGCTTTTTACCACTTAAAATTCATTTCTCCAGTCACCATTTTTAATACAAATAAAGTTTTTCCAATCGTAACATCCAGACATCTTACCCTCCTCTTACTAAAATTAGTAAGAACTAAGTGATAGCTAAGAGACAAAATTAAGAATAAACTGTCTTTTTATTTCACATATTTTCATCTTCAGTTAAGTCACAACCAAACAACAAGCAAACAGTTAGTGCTTTGTCCCTGAAAAGAACACAAATCCTCCTACGGAGAAAAAGGCTGCTTCAACACACCTAACACAAAACACAAGATCCAAAACCCCTATAATCAAGATGCATAACCTATTTTCATTTCCTAATAGCCATTCTAGACAAACTACAGAAGCTTTTGTTTTTGAGGAAATGTTCACTGAAATTGGTTTAAATTCCAGGATCACTGTGGTTCATTTTAATTATTTCTACATTCCTTAACTATTTTATGCTTAGGTTAATGCAAGTTATTACTACAAATTATTATTAAATCTATTACTTTACCTCTTAGATGTACCTTTTTCTGGTATTTCAAAACACTACGCAAAATAATTACATGAATTCCACTTAAAATATTGAGTCAGTCTTTTGCCATAGTTCTGAGGCTGTTTTTAGGCATCAGAATTGCAATGCAGAACAAAAACAGCACAGGACCTGTAGTTCAGCAAGTCAACATATAATCATACTTCAAAAAGTTAAAGTATACTCTAGAAGGGTATATTATATTTAATAACCATTATTAGATGAATAGTATTCATATTCTTTGACCCAGCAGTGAAGCTTCTTACACATGGAAAAAAAAAAAAGAACACTTAGGCATACTGTACTCAATGCAAGGAAAGGATTGAATATTTATTCTGTACTATATCTCAATACTGTTTTATAATGACTGTAAGTAAAGTGTAAAGAACGTATTTCTAGCATCCACACTTTCAGTGACAGATGTTTGAATACATGCAATCTGTATTCTTCTGAACCACTTCTATACAGTACCATGTTCTGTGGTACACTTGTACTGTACAATTCAACATTGGGGGGGAGAGGGGGGAGTTAAAAAACAGTGTATTTTTCTCCATTTGCTACAACAAAGAAATACAGATGTGAAACAACTTATTTGTCTCTGCCACAGCACATTAGACTTATGATGCATTTCTTCAGAGAAACAGTACAAGTTATAGGCAGCAGGTTATGTAAAAAAACTCCAATCTTTGCTAACTTTTTAGATGGTTCAGACTATCTGTAAATTACTGTCATGAGTTTTTATAGTTCTTTTAATAGCATTTGAACCAGCTTGTAAGGCAGTATGTAGATAAAAGGGAATGCCTCACAAGTGGCTCTCATAAATACCTAA